CCTTATATGGTGTTTTTGGGGTGGTAATTATGCTAATCTCCTCTCTCGTGCACGAGCAGCGGGATAAGAACAGGTGGAATTTACGCAGCTCATTTACGCACTTTTCCTGAAGATAGAAGAGTTTGTTGAATCTGACGTGACATGTTCGTACGAAGCCTTCGTACGAACAAAAGTAAGAGAAATTTAGGATAAGAATACGAACATGTTCTTGCGTGAGGCCAATTGTGTTAAAATTCCAAATTCCAAGAAATCTAACATGATTATTATTTTTCTAAGGTGGTTAAGCATTAGCAAAAATATTCCATGAACCACTAAACAGATTAGGATTTAGCATTATTCAKTGGGTGTACYTCRACARTCCCATCCAAGATGGCCGCCACAACTAATAAACCTTAGCCTTCACAAAAAAGGCTTTACCGCAGTGAGTTTTARAGATATTGAGCTAAAATCRGGTGTGGTGGTAGCTGAGAGTCAATCCCAGTTTGTATTCCAAGGGTTAACAGATCATGTGAGATATCTCAGTTTTGCCTGAGGTAAGGTTTGACCAAAACGGCTACAACTCCATCAGTTCACATGATAAAATAATCTCAGTGTCAAACTCTGACATGAAATTGAGTGATATGCATTCCTGTAGGAGATGTTAGGCCTTTACGAAGCAGCATTCACAATCTGCTGGGCGTTGTTTACAGAGGAGCAGAAGTCGTCTAGATGGGGTTACTCTCACCCCCGACATGATGCTCTCATGGTGGAGCCCTTCAGTGACTGTGAATGACACACACACACACAAACAAAGTGTTTCTGCAATTTTCGAGGCGCTAACCTGGACTTCACATTGCAGAAGTAGCTTGTCCTGGTCTTGTCTCCTTGAGATTTGAGGTTCATGGCTCCTAAAGTGTCTGGTCGCCTCACGGACTGAGCCATTTTCTGTTGATCTTTAGTCTGAGGCATGAGGGGGCTCAGCTGGCATCCTTCCTCCTTTTACTCCTCATCATGACTTTACCTTTTGCCCTTTTTTACAGCACCTACAGAGGACAGCAAGGAAGCCATAAAATCGGATGATTTCACATGCACATGATTTGAACAGGTTGGAAAAGCTTAATGCACCAGCAGCTAAGGTTAACCAGACAGTGATGAAAATAAAGGAGTCAGGATTTCAATTCAATAAAACTGTCATTCATCTCCATTAGTGTGTAAACGTGCACTTGGAGTCAAGATTAAAGTGCAAAGCTGAGTGTGTTTTTAAAAGTTCATATTTTAAAACAGATTATATACCATATCTATATAATCCAATCAAATTATTGTCCTGGATTTTAGCAGAGCTGGGATGATTTTAGCTGCAATAATAAACATGTTATTATCATGGCACACATTTGGCATTCTGGGGCTCACACCCCTTTAGATTTGTCTGTAACGTCAGAATTAGCTGGAAAACCCTGCTTGTTCTGGATACTCAAGAGCCTCGTTACATTCATCAGCCGTACGGTAATTACAAAGAAAAACTTGCTTCCTGTAAATTTTGAAGGCACAATTGTCGTTGAGGAGGAAGTGAGCATTTTCAGACGACATCACAGAAAATGATCGAGACCACAGCTATGGCTGAAACAAATGACATCAGCAAAAAGGCAGATGGGGAACGGAAACGAGAAATTCAACGAAGGTAAGCTCGGTGACAGCTTTACTGACCTGAGTCTTGACCAGGGATGGAGACGAGTGGCAGTCACATGAGTGTGTCTTCATATTGCAGCGTTTATGATATCACTGCAGACAACAGTAAACAGTTATCATTTAGGCCCCGCCCTTTGCTTAATGCGTTGTCTCGTCTTGTCAAGATAGTTCCCCTCTTTCCCTCTATAAGCTGTGTAACAAACACGAAGACGAAATAGTAAGGGAGTGACACATCTTGTGTTTTCACCACACGGACCTCAGCGTTCAGAAAAGCTTTTTCCATATAAAATAATTTATGCATGTGCTGCATATTTTCTCCAACAATTAATCGTCTATGTTTTTTCCTTTTTGTTTCTAAAATAGAAATAAAATCATTAATCATGGAGTTCTCTTACCCCTGTTTGTCTTTAACTGTAGGGGGCGCTCCTCGAACACCGGCGCTTCCAGCCAATCAAATCACAGGACAATGAACGTCAACAGTGTGAAAGACGAAAGGAGGAAGCGTAACTAAAATGTTTTAACTTTCCAGTGTTCAGCTTTACTCCAACGTAAGTCGCACTTACTCCGCGTTAATAGGAGTTGGGAAATATCAGCAAAACTCTCCGTTTGATGTTGGTAAAAATAAGCAATGACGGGTCAAACSTAAGGCCCTTGGCTTGTACCGTACACTCAGTGCTATGCTAAGGAACGCGCTCTGTGTGTTTGCCATTCGTTGCTAAGCTAGCTATCACAGATACCGGCTGCTAATAAACTGAAAGGTTCAGAACGTAGTTTCACTAAATATTTATTTTCTATTGGATGAGCATCATTTTCTGTCCATCCCCAGTAACCCAAGTCACTGCATGGTGCAGCGCTACCATATTTTCCTTGGATACGAATCAGCTAGCTAGTAGCATCGTTAGCTATTTTTTTTTACATCTTTTTACGTGTTGAATTTAACAATTAAAAACTAGTAATTTATACTCTTTGTGTATTATAAATAGGTTTTTAAAAGCATATGTTTACTTAGTTTTTCTACCAGTTGTAATATCGAGAAAAAGCCAAAGTATTTTAATGTGTGTATATGTATATATGTGTGTGTGTATGTGCTGGTGTGTAGTGTTAATTTGGGGAATAACGTGTGTTATTGTTTGTACCGATGTGTTAAGGGGTTAGGTCGTGCCAAAAACTCAGATTTATACGAATATGGATTACTTTTATGGATGCATTGTTAGGTTATGATAAACAATATGTTGAAGATTTCCTGCCTTTTTCTCCTCAGCAGATGCTCCTACTAATTACTCYTTTTAATCTCAGGATTTGGTGGTCGGACTATCATGACATCTGTTCACTGAACTGCTCCATCTTCAGAAATTGCAAGCACCAAACCCTGGTGTGCATCCTTCTAGCGAATGAGAGTGACCCACCATCATTATGGAAACAGAAGCAGTAAGTTTCTCATATAAGGGATACTTTATTGACTAACACTGATTATTACACAGAATTGTTTTGTAGAGAAACTGTGTTATAAAGCAAGGAAAATCTAGCAGTTTTTTTTATTTTTTTTATTTTTTTGCAGGAAGTTATTCCCATCTGGCAGAATAAGCCCCATGGATCAACTCGTAGCGTTGTGAGAAGAATAGGTTCAACTCTTCCACTCAAAGCTCCACAAAGAGCATGTTTCCAGGTCCGTTTAACATTCTGTTATACACTTCCATCTAGAAATTATGTTGCCCTGGTATATACAATAAATGTGCTGCTGGATAAGTTGTAACAACTTGTGGTTTMGGCCGTTAGGAGTTACCTGGTTTGCCTTCTCTTCGTCCCATGGACGGCCCTTCTGTCCCTACTTTGGCAGACATAGCCTGGATTGTTGCAGATGAAGAGGAGACGTATGCCAGAGTCAGGTATGTCTGCCCCAAGAGAAAAGTAAAAAAAAAAAGGTAGCAAAAAGTCACTTACTTTTATAGCATTTACTTCAGCTCTAATGTTTCAGTTTATTCAGTGTACATGTGTAACGTAGAAGAATACCATAATTAATATGTTGCTGAACTAATTTGGAGATTTGCTAAAACAATTCTGGTATTTTGTGGGCCAATAAGAAAGAAAAGTGTAATTTTATTAAATGGATCGTTCCAGTGGCAAGGTTAATGTTAGTGCTTAGAAGTTTATTTTAAAAACAGACATTCAACAGGTAATAATAAAACAGCTTGTAAGTTTTTTTATGGTAAAAGTAGCTTTACTTTAATCACTCTTKTGTTTTCAGGAGCGATGCGCGCCCTTTAAAACACGAATGGCGGCCCACGCCACTCCTAGTACTCCACAGAAACTCCTCCGTGCCCAACTTCCGCCGCGAGGGTAAAAGAATGGAGGGGCTTAGGAAGCCCGGGGTGACGGCCCTCAACCGTACCACCGCCCTGCAGGACGAGCTCAGCAAACTCCGGGCTCAGATCGCCAAGATAGTGGCAAATGATACAGGTTGGTAACGCAAGCAGAGACCCAACGTTCACTTAGGCTTGTCTGTCAGGAAATAAAAGGTTGCGCTTATTGGCTGTCCAAAGCACTGAATCGTCTTTATAAGTTAATATCTTAACTCTTTTTTAATTTAGTCATAACGCCTAACTGTTTAAATTAAAAAATATATAAAATATCTATAATTTCAATTGAAGCCAGTGGATTTGCTTTAAACGGAACTGAACAAAATTGAAAATGAACAAATAGTATTCTGCAAAACAAAACTATTAAATCTTAGCTAGCTGTTAAGGCTACAACCTTTCAGCGGTGAAATATATTTTCTCCATTGCCTATAAAGACTTAAACTTCTAAAATAATCAGAGTCATGCAGGTTTTGGATTGCCTTATTGGTTGCACACGGAGTCATTGTCTTTACGTGACTGTTGTCATTCTGCCAAGTCAGCTGACCTGAATCTCTTTAAGCTCTCTGGTACTGAGGTGACTTGGCACCAGTTTGTGGGTCAGTGGCTAAAGATTATCTCTGCTGCTCTGTGGCAGTTCATCATCACATGTTGAGCAAAACAGACACAAAGTGTCACATGTGTTTTATCTAKTGAAACAAGACTACTTACTGATCTGAAGCAAACCTTTAGCTGTTATATATAAACCAAATTTCTTAGCTAAATGACACGATTGGTCGTTTTTCTAAAAAGAGATTGACTTTGTCAGAGTTTGTTTTTTTTTTTTTTTTACACAAATCAAATGCCTCGTTTTTTTATCTTTTGTTTCAGGCTCCAACCCCCTGACCCCGGATCTGCTCTCCCCAGACGACACAACCATGAGTTTTTCCATGGCGCCTTTCGAGACGGCGTCCTACACGCCAGCCACGGCGGCTCCCGCTTCCTTCGTCATCAGTGACGTCACGGAGGAGGAAGAGGAGGAGGAGGAGGAAGAAGCAGAAGTGGAGGAAGATGAGAAAGATATTTCTATCGTGTCAGAGCTGGTCCCTGACCCTCTGCCGCCCGTCTCCATGACGGCATCGGCGACCTTTGACCTGGACAGACCCAGCATGGACTTCCGGGAGGCAGAGGAGGACACAGTGTCTCTGTCCAAGTCTACCAGTTTCGCCGACGTTATGGACATCCTGAAGGATATGAACAAAATGAAGATGAGCAAAGACAGGTGAGGCCTGCTGGTGCGAGAAAACCCACTAAGTTTCCTTTCGTTTCAATGGTTTTAGTGACACGTTGTGTGTTTATTGTTTCAGGTATACTAGAGGTTGTACATCACTCAGAGAGGAAGACTCTGCTACTCTGATATCAGAAGCTCTAAGGAAAAAGTTTGTCTTGCAAAAAGAGGATACTACTGCTGTAAGAAGGAAATAACGAGCTCAATTATTAGTAAAATAAAAACCCGATCCTGCTGCTCCGTGCAAGTCAGGAGGAAAGTGTAGAGTTTGAGTTTTTATTTGTTAGGAACATACCCCACGGATCTTCAGTTTCACTCTCTAGGCTGAAGGCAGCATCTGTCTGCCAGAGTTTACACAAACAAACTTTGTCCCAGACGTTTAGAATCAAACTCTGTTCAGTCTGAGACCCAGCAGCCACGCTGAAGCATGACGATGCAGATTACAGCAGACCGTTTCCCCAGCTCCGACCGGTTTCTCCATCCAAATCTGGGATGTTTCATTCAAACAAGAGGTTGATGTTCGAGCCATAATTCATTAAGGTTTGGACTTCAATTAAATTCTTTTTAAGATTTTTGTTGAACCTTATTTTAAGCTATTTTCCCCCCACAGAAACCATACAAATAAACCTTTTTGTTTTCGGTTTCATAAACTAATCGAACAAACTTGAAGATATTTTCTGTATAGATGAAACTTGCATACAAGCAGAGACGTACTGTAGCTTTTTACAGTGTGTATGGGAAAATAAGCTTCAGATGTTTGCTTTTATCYTTGGCATCTTTGTACTTTGGATTGTGCACGTCTTTTGCCTGTTCATATTCTRTTTTTTTTGTAACATAAACGTGGATGTGATTGAACCAAAAGATCCAAATTTAAAGCCCAAACTATAAAAGGAGTGTTCAACAAGCTTGTACAAATATTTTGAAATACACATACCCCCTGCTTGTGAAGTCTGCCGATAGTTCAAGTCGTGTGTAAAACAAGGCKACAGTAAACCAGTTCTTTTGTTTGGCAAAGAATATTAATTACATAATTCCCTACATTGTTCTTGTGAGTCAAAGTTAGGATGAAGAGTATTCCTGTTCTCACCTTTTAAAAGAAATCCTTTTCCTCAAAAAAAAACCTGAGTTCATTCTCCAAGTCGTTCCAAGTGCCAAGGGTTTGTTTTTAACCGGCCCGCTTCTTGTTGCCTGTCCTACACGTGTTCACAYTTTTTACATTTTCTTTGTTACACGTTTTGTTTGTTCAGGCCTTTACGAAGGCAATGACTTTAAAGTTAGGTTGGCTGTGTAAAAACATTTAGCTGAGCAGAACGTTTAAACGAGAGACGTCTGTCCACACYCGACGATTTTCTTTTGCTAGAATCCGTGCTCACGTTTTAAATGTAATGTCTCAAGCTGAACTTGTTCATTCTTTCACACGACAAAGTGATGAATAGCAGCTAAAGTTGATCTATACAGGTTGTGTCTCAATAGGTGAGATAATGGATGCCACTACTGCAAAGTTCAATGGGAACTGTTTGTTTTTTGTTTTGCTGTAACTTTTGTAGAACTGAACCCTCTTTAAGCACCACCTGAGTGTGCATTTTTTTGTTTTGTTTTTTGTTATGCAAACTCCTGAATAAAAAAAAAAAACGTGCAGATGTTTTGAAATGGTCTTTCAGTGATTAGCATGCATTGACAAAATGCTACCACACAGGGGCAGCGCAAGCAAAGAAAACCGATTTTCTTTTGTTTATTTATTTTTTAACCTTCAATTAAAATAGCTACACTTTTCCTCTTTCCTACAAATGTTACCATAGATGCGACTCTTAAATTATTATTATTGTTCACTTCATTAGTAAATGTTAAAGTATTAGGGACAGGAAAAGATGGAAAAATCTGGTTCATCTTGCAACTAATTAGGTTAATTAGTTACAGGTCAGTAACATGATTGGGTCTAAGAAGAGCGAGTCTCCAGAGAGGCTTTTAGACACAATGATGGTCATGAATGATTGAATTGTTCAATAAGTGAAAATCTACACAGGAAGTAATGTTGAATGTTGTTACTTGACCTGCTACATATACAGCTTGTTGAGATATTTATGCTTCATTATATATATAT